GCAAACCTAAGAATATCTTACTTGTAGCCTTTGGTGACTCCAGTAGCCATGTTGGTGATATGACTGCAAACAGTTCGAACACAAGCGAGATCTTTGCGGTTTCCAAACCATTTGTCTACACGAACAGTTCTTGGCCCAACCTGTAAAAATTTGAAATATTATTTCTAGTACAGAGCGTCTCAAACTGTGTTTCGCAGAACAGGGATTGAAATCGGACTCAATTCGTTGCCAGGGCGATCTCAACTGTACTTCAGTGACTCTGGGTCATAAATTTGTCTTACACCTGGCGACAAACAGGTCTTGCTATCTAAACAGGCCTCAAACCAGTCTCGAAAGTATAAAGTTTTCGTTACTTATTCAATCTTGTTAACCGTCATTCTAAATATTTAAATTAAACTGGAAAAACCTCCATCGGGCATTGGAAACAAATAAAAGCTAATCCCTAAAACAAGTAAAGAAAATGACAAACCTTGCTCAGCTCAATCTTCAAATGATTGAAATTTCTCTTCAATGTCCCCCTATCCCCGTGTATGGTGACTGTTCTGCCCTTCACCCAAACTTTTACACCTTCTGGGACGGTGACATCCTGGCTAGAATGTAAAGTCTTCATTTTTATTATACCCGCACCAAAAACTCGACTGTTCGCCTGTCTGGCCGGAAAGAAAAGAACCAGCCAGCGTGTAGCGGTAGGGGGTGTAAGGAGTCCAGATTGATGGCTACGCAGGAAAACCTTGCTCGAATAAAGTTAAGAAATTGAAATTTATTGATTTTTTCAATATCTTAAAGATAGCAAAAAGTTATATTTCTATTTTGAACAATAGATTCCATAAAATTTTGATTATGATGGAGCCTGTTTGATACAGAGATTGCTCTTTAAAAATTCTGATCCGAATCCTGACGATAGGATAGGATTTACATATTTACCCCGGGGGAGAGGAAAGTCGATAAGACGGCTTAATCATATGGCGAACCACGGCCTCTCCTCCGGTTACCAGTCCAGGTTGGATATAGAATTATTTAGCCAGTTATTTTTGTTTTCGAATGCAAAGACTTGATGGTGGAGGAAGCCGCAACCGACCAGCGGTTACGTGAACCACCCTACGGCGACAAGGAGTCCAGCAATCCTCTCGCACATGATCATCCCCGCATGTGATTCGAACCTGCGAACCCACGAAGGGTAATCAGAGATGCGGTGGCGAGCGTATTCCCAACGCTTAGCACGATGCGCCACACCGCCGAAAGGAAAACTGTGCTAGAGATTTAGTGAATTTCTAGTCTTCGTTGTTTACATTACAAATTCATCCGAGAGTGATTTCTATCATTATTCAATTTTTATGCATAGAGTTGTGATTTTAATCTGTTGAATTCGTTTAAAAAATATTTTGAGAGATTATTCGCCTTGACGCATCGATTGCGTTTCTTTATTTATTTATTAAGTAATATATTTTGTTCGATTTAATTATATTTATCACGTTTTTGTTAGACTTCCCCGTGGGTGCCGCCGCTCGATAACCAGAATTGGTTTTCGGCGTCTCCTTTCACCCTGGAATGCGGTCTTTTATATTTTCTTTATTTGTGTATGTAAAATTCATACTTTCAGCTTGGTGAAGAAATAAATTACTGATTACTGATTTGATGTTATCCACACGGTGGCGACCGCACTCAACTAATTTTTGCAACAAGATCTTGCGAAATATTGGCTTTCCGTTCGGTTTGCCAAATACCAAGCCGACTTAGGATAGTTCATTTCCTCTTTCCCCAGCCATCATTATAATCATGAAAAACTTGCCCATTTTACCGAGATAACACTAATCAGGCATATCTGGTTTCACACCAAAGTGTGTAATCACTATTTTCAAATTGCAAGTCATGGGATTACTTTGCTTTAGAAAAAGACTTTTTCACTTGGAACTTAATCACAGCTTTCATTTATCTATCATGAACTGGACTCAATATAAAATACAAGCCATGAGCTAAGGATCGGCTGGATATATACTAATCGAATTCATATATTTTTTGATCATGTCACTGGCACACACCTCTGCGTGCACCGTTGAAGCTTCAGTTTGTCCTAAGAAGTTCTACAATAAAATTTTTCATAAAGTTAGTATGGTCTCCCTGACAGTAATTTAAATTTGACATCATCAATTGAAGTGCTATAGGAAACCACTTTGTTTGTTAACGTTACACATATGCGAGTTTATCCAAAGCAACTTTATTTTTTCTATCCAGTAAAAAAATAACAACCAAAGTTCAGAAGAATAATGAGCTGGAGCAGGTGAACAAGCAGCACAGCCCAGCTCCCTTTGTTTTCCAGCAGATGCCACCGATAGAAGTTCGAGTAACGCTAGCATTCAAAAAGATATATTATTTGATGTGATGGAACAAAGTAACAGCCTGGAAGAATATAAAGAACCGACTTGGGGTCACAATCAAAAGTGCTGATCATACTGGTGCCGCAGGTGTATGGCCTGATTAAGCAACGTAAAAGCAGAAAAACAGTGTAATTGGTGGCTCGTGGGATTGAAAGCTGAAATCTAAAATGAGTTAGAATTCATAATTTTTGTAATATCGAAATAAAAATATTCACTATTTCTAAGAAGGCCTAAATTCAGTTATGCCAACAAAAAGTTTCATGGACGAATACTTCTGACTCAAAACGCAATTTTCAAGAATAACAATTTATTAATCCAATATATGAAATCAAAACTACAGAAAAAATTTAATATCATGGTGAAAGTACTGATAGTAACAATGAAATGGAGATAAAATAGTGCAGAGAAACTACGGAATACAATTGTAGCAAAAAGAACTGAAATTAAGCAAAAACCAAGAAGGACGGGTCGCATTATAGATGATGTGGAGTTGTCCAATTAGCATAACAGTGGCTCTATCAAATTTATGAGTTCTTATATAATCTTTCAGACCATCCAAACAACATGAAACTTTTGAAACTCTTTGAAAAAGACTCGGCATAAGTAGAGCTATGGCATTTTGAAATTGGCTTTTTTACTTTATCCTCAGAAATACCCAATTCTCAGTTTTAAATTTAAAAAAATTGTCTTAACAAATTCTAGAGTTGTTTAGTTAGTAGGGTACTGTAAGTACCAAATCACCGTTAATTTTTGACAACATGAGTCATCAGAAACACCTAAAACCAGAGTTGCAATTTTATATAAAAAATAAAACAGTTGTAAATGAAAAAGCCCCCTTAAAAAACTTGAAAGTTATTTTGTGTGCATCGAATAGCATCAAAATTTATCTCATTACAGAAAAATTTTTTTCAAAAAAAACTTTATTGCAAAAATGGTGGCCACTCATAGTTAGATGTAATTTTGTCCCAAAAAAACACTGCCATATTCAGGCATACCGTATTTGCTCGTTTAGTAGCCCGGGCCCATATTTTTTCCAACCAATTCACTAACCGGGCCCTTATTTAAACCGGCCCTTATTCAAGCAGGGGCGCTTGTTATTTTCGAGCGTTACAATAATTAATGTATTGTTATTTCCAGTTCTCAAGTATGATTTAACTGAGAATAACGAAAATTTTGACTTTTCCTACGCACCGCAGGTACAAATCCGCAAAAAAAGTTTTGCGACGCCCTATCAATATTAAAACCCAGTTTGAGTACCATGGTGTTAGGCAATCAATGCTATCTGTTATGTACTCGGACGCCTAAGGCGTGAGTGTTATCTACCGGCGCTTAAAATTCTTATTTCCTATTGTTTTCTACCACTGAAAAATCAGCTTTTACACCGGGCGGGTATTCAAGCACCGGCCCTTATTTATTTTCATGTTCTGTTCACACGGGCGGCCATTCAAACGGGCCCTCAATCAAAACCGGGCGGTAAAACGAGCATATACGGTATTCACAATATTGTGCGAGTAGCTATCCCACTAGATAAAGCTCCTGCAATCTGGTCAGTTAGTCGTAAGTTTTCGAACTGCAATTTGTTGCATAGCAACATGGTACTATGACAAAACAATTAGTCAAGCACCTTTGTGATATAACAAAATAATAACACAGTAATCTCAAGTACCGTTGATAAAAATGTACAGAGCAGTGTAAAGAAACGTAAACAGATCGAAAAAATAACTATAAAAAAAAAATCACATATATATTTAGATTTACTAGCGTATCAAGAACCATTAAAAATGTGACTTTGACGCACATGCAGGACATTTTTACTTGACTAGGCTGGAAATAGTTAATAGGTTTACCAGGCTGATTGTTACACCTAATTTTGGTTGCAAACCGTCATACAAAGTAATTCCCCTCAATGTACATTCACCTAATAAAAATTACCGTATTTCACATGTCGAATGTGGCAATACCAACAGCAATTAAACAAAACACAAATTTGCTTGGTCAACAGTATTGGAGAATTTTATTTTCCTGTGCAATTCAAGTCTTGTGCACTTGAAATGAATAGCTGGCTAACTAATCCCATACCAGACATGGACAGGTAACCAACTGGAGGAGAGGCCGCTGTTCGCCATATGATTAAGTCGTCTCATCGAATTTTCCTCTCCTCCGGGATAAATATGTGAATCCTCATTCCCAGCCCTATATATGGATAAAATTACTGTTAAAACGTGATTTATGTAACAACGATTCAGCACCCAATTTGTCATTCCGTGATATGTAGAAGATGTTGAAAAAATCATACTATGCCTATACAACAAAGTTCAATGTATGTTTCCCTTATGTGCAAAGGGCAACAACTTGAGCAGAGCCATGTTCAGATCAATAGTGATAAGAAAAATCCAAAGAATCTCCCATCGCATTATTGTTTTGAATTAAATTTACATAACATTGGGTTTGACTTGCCTATGAGCAACTGTGAATAGCGGAAGGGAAAATAATATGAAAAATACAGAACCCTATTTGGCGAAAACATGGGGAAAACAGCCTAGCGGTGTTCAGACCATAAGTGATAAAATAATTTTTAAAAAAACTTTTCCTCCTATTTAGTGAATAAAATTTATATGAACATTGGTTCTGACTTGCCGACGAGCAACTGTAAACAGCGGAAGAAAAATAAAATAAAACAAATGCAGAAAATTTAACTAATTATCTAGAAAGACAAGAAAAGGCACTTTATAAAAATATGAAACAAAATTAATCATAATAGAAAATATCATCTAAATCAGTTTATTCTTCTATAATTAAAAATAGAGTCAGTAACGAGATGCTTAGCTGTGATTTATTATTTAACGTCCTTGCAGGGCTACCTTACCATTAAGCATGAGCCAACACTTTCCACTGGAAACAATATTACAAGACATTGACAACCAATGCCCTATTTTGCTCCAATATTAATACTTAACATATAAGTATCCATGCAAGTTGCAAACCAATGTATGGTAATTGATGGCCGATGAGGTTAGCATTAGGCCAAGGTGAAATTGGGATTCGAACCTATGCCTTTATTCAGAGACCAATAGCCCTATTTTTAGATTATTGTCACCGTTTTCTTTTTCTGACGAAAGTTAGGAATTGAGCTATGGTGTGAACAAAAGTGTGATTTTGCGACAATGTCCAGCAATATTTGAAATATCAAAATCGATTTGGGAAGTCAATAATAAGATCATTTTAACGATTTTCTGAGCCTTCTGTGGCTCAAGATTCAAAAATCAAATATATAACACAACTTGAAAAATCAATCCTCAAAAAAAGCCTGACTACTGGCAGTTCTCATATATTCTGAATAGGTTACAAGTATACTGGGAATATAATGCATCCAGTAATATGTTTTGGCATCCTAACTACAATTTTCAATGCCAATTATTGGGGGACAATTTTGTGGGAATTGATGAACTGGATTGTTGGTCATTCAGATTCAATGGTATGTTCCATGTTATGATAGGTATATAAAACTATAGCAGTAATGCTAGAATGGGCTTGGGAACTCAGATTCGTGATAGAATTGGGGGCCATGCATTGGGTTTTCGGCGTTCCAGAAGTGTGTGTACCAATATGAGGTAACTAATTTTGTTCGCCAACTTTACATCAAGTCGTGTGAAGGGACTGAAATCTATGGGCAAGAGGTATATTCACTTGACAAACACAGACAGTCCCCGAACTCGAAATAGAACTAAAATAAGCAAAAATTGGAATAAAATTATACCCTAACCTGGTACACATACTACAGGAGTACTGGGTTTTCTAACTAAAACACATGCCTAATCATTATTAAGGGCCAGTAACATAAAGATTTATAGTGTTGAAGTGACATTGGACTCAAATATGTTGAAAATCTTTAGTTTCAAATCCTCTGGCCACCCCCCACCAGGGAATAATGAATAGGGTAGGTAATGCCGAACCGGGAGAGTTCTTTTAAAACACAGCAAGGTTGAGGCATGTTTATAAGAGACTAATGGGTATTTTTGACTTCAGGGAGTATTCTCTTCCTAGGTTAAGCCCTTCACCTCGGTTGTGTTTCATTATGCTGTCTTCAGTAACTAGAGTGGTTTACAAAGTCGGGAACCCCCTGAACTCGAAATAGAACTAAAATAAGGAAAATTGGAATAAAAGTATGGCCTAACCCTAACCTGGTACTCACACTACAGGACGAGTTTTCTAACTAAAGCACAAACCTAATCATTAAGGTCCGTAACTTATAGCTTTATAGTGCTAAAGTGACATTGAACTCAAATATGATAACATCACAAATTAAAAAACTCTGTTTCAAATTAACCGACCAGCCCCATCCCCTGATGTGATAAGTCCGAACCGGAAGAATTTTAGGCCTTTCAAACCCCACCAGCACCTTAAATATCAGTTACTTCTCATAGATAGCCTTGTTCAGAGTGCGAAACTACAACTAGGGTGGAATAAGATGAAGCTCAGGATCAGGACACTTTGGCAATACAGGTGGATCAAATTAAATATACACTGATAGCTTGCCGATATCAATGATAGATGGTTATATGACACTGAAGGGTGACTTTTGACTTCAGGGAGTAATCTCTTCCTGGGTCAAGCTCCCCTTTCCACCTCATGAGGTTGTGTTTCAGTAACGAGTGGTTTACAAAGTTGGGAACCCTCTTAAATTTTCATTGATATCGTTGCTGTTATTTGTATTCGATGAAACTTTGAAAGAATTAGAATTTTTACTGGGGTTCTCGTAAGGTTTATAAGTCAAAAATGAAGTCCCCGCTTTGGGTTCTTTATAGTGGCCGGTACCCCTACTAGGGACAGATGTGTTCCATTGAAACTTTTTAGGACGAGTTGAATTGCCATTTTGTACCGGCATTGGGACATGAGCGGGACTGAGGCTTCCGCTAGAACTAGATGAGGCAGCTTCCGAGTCCCTTCGTGACAGCGCAGGAGAGCTTGTGACACTAGATGCAATTTTTCTAATGGAAGTTGGGCCACTGGAAAAGTTCATTGATTCTGCTGCGTAATTTGTGTAGAGTAGTAATAATGGCTGGTAATGTCCTTTGATACATTTTATAAGAACATCACGCCAATGCTTTCCGACCTCACTAACTGCTGCATCATCGATTGAAAGCCACCGATTGGCTTTACGGTTGAAAAAGAAAGTTGAATAATGTTTGCCATAGTAACACACAACAGCTGATAAATGATATTCGTTACGCTGCGCATTTTTATCTAAAACGGAGTCGAACATGTCCTGCAACTTTATCATTGTGCTTAATGTGTGTATAAAATCTATAATATGTTCTATTGCTGGCTCTTCACTGTCCCAGTTTACCCCAATGCTTATCACGTCCGGGGCATTCATCAGTGAAGTCCGTGTTGCGATTTCCGATCCACAATTGCTCGGGCATTTTCTACTCCCTCTACTAACGGATCGAATCAATCGCGCAAATTTCTCTTCTTTATCCGCTGCCCGATAATACTTTCTTCTTGCCTGAAATAAAGAAAATACATTCAGCTGGAATGCTTGGTGCAAATGGCCTAGTGCAGGAGTGTGTAACTTTAAATACAGGAGGGCAAAATACAAATAAGTGTGTGAAAATGCGGGCCGCAGGCTGCGTTCTTTCTGGTAGTTGCAGGCACAAAAAGTTGGGTTGTTGATCTTATGACATGTGTTGTTCGCTTCGCACATTTTCAGGTATAGGCTTTGTAGCGCAAAAAATTTGAAATTCCCCACACTGGCACTCCTCCGCAGGCCGCAAATTTTTTCCAGTAGGCTTTATTCAGCCCAGGGGCCGCAGTTTGCACAACTTTGGCTTAGTGGATAAAGCGACTTAACTGTGTAAGCAAGTAGGACAATTAAATATATCGTGAACCACATTCTTTCATTCGCTTGCCAGTCCACGTCGGGTATGGAATTAGTTACCAGTTATTTTTCGAATGCATAGACTTGATGGTAGAGGAAACCGTAACCGACCAGTGACACATGAAACACCCTATCACAGTGAAAAGTCCACCAATCCTCTTGCACATAATTATCGGCCACTGAATTCAAAGCTGCAAACCTGTGCAGAGTAATCGGATTGCAAGCGCACTCCTAAATGCACGATGCGCCGACCACCCGGTTATATCAATCATATAATAGAAATCAATAATATTTAGTCAACACTGCTTTCTATATCGACCAATTTCCCATGAGAATCATAACCTCGGGCGCTCATTAATTAAACACCTAGTCGTAAAAATTTATAAATCAATACATCAGTGAGTACAGGTGAATGTACACAAGCATTTGGAATGATTTTGGAAGTCTTATAAAAAAAAATGAAAATCAGCATGGCTACCTTATTGGAGTTCCTCTGCCAAGAAAATAAAGAAAAATGGAAATCAATTTTTAAAACTCATGGCATTTTTGTTCCAAAATATATACATATGACAGACCTCATGAAGTATGCGCACCAAGATGGCGCACAACCTGAATTCAGGTTGTGTACCAGGTAAGGGTTCAGGTTATGTGACATTTTGGTGCACATACTTCAGGAGCACCCATATGACTCTGGCAACGGGTCTCGTTATATTGAATATTTCTAATGATAAAACGAGGTTTTATCAGGCTTTGACAATTAAAATAATCAATAGGATTAGAGAGCTGAGAGAGACTGCAGTCGAACCTATTTGACCCTTGTAATTATCTTGAAGACAAATCAAGGATTATTCCTTCATGTGGACGATGCCAGTGGGGATTAGTGATGCCCATTATAGAATTTGAACCTTTTTTGCATTTTCAGACTAATTCTGACCATGAATTTGGAAATATACAATACACCCTGTCATTTTAGGAAACAATCTACTATTCCAATTACATTTGGAAATGATATTTTCAAAAATGGAATATTCAATACATTTCTAGAATGGGCCATGTTCAATTGATAAGATATGGGAGTCAATGTAACACCATGGCGGATATTTGAGATGAAAATAGTTTTTGAAGTGAGAGTTATGTTAACATACAAAAAAATTGAAGAGTTAGACCTAACTAGGGACGGCCAATACTGCCTTTGTAAACCAATACTGATAGTTTGGGGCTCCCGAAGTATGCGAACCCAGATGGCGGACATCGAAATGTAATATGTGTACTAGGTTAGGGTTGGGCCATAATTTTAGGTATAAATACTACGGGAGGCTCTTGGCTAGTCTTCGAACTGATAATAGGACTAAAATAAGAAAAATTGGTAAAAAATTATCGCCTAACCCTAACCTGTTACCCATGTTACGTTCCGATGTCCGCCATCTTGGTTCGCATACTTCGGGAGCACCGATAGTTTTCTATCTATAGCAGTCGGACCCTGTTGGCATTGCAGGTTACTACAGATCTCAGGATCAAATCCCAAGCCTCTATTCACCCAGGATGTGATTACTTGGACGCACAATGCCGAATCGAAAAGATTACGGTTCTTCCGAATTCCAGTGAGTGGAAGCTCCTCACATATGCGGGGATGATAGTACAGGGCCTAGAGCAAAAGTTGTACAAAAATCGTGTAAAAAATAAACAACAAATATTCACCTTCAATTTAGCACATAGAGCTGTTGCGGAAACATAATGTACGAGTTGTATGAACGGTAAAGGTTCGGAAGTTTCGCCGCATTCGCAAACTCCCTGCTCTATCAACATCATGCCGAACTTTTGGTGAGAAATACAATGCTTTGCGGAACACATATTGTCTTCTGAGGTAGATTCTTCAACCACATGAGAGTGGATTCGAAGTAAAAGGTTTTCAAAACATTCAGCGGCGTCTTCCATAAGCCCAAGTTGGAACCTAAAAAATAAGGGCACAATGACACAAAATGGTGGCATGACCTAGTGATTGGGAGTGTTGGTATTTCAATGTCCATGGCTGATTCCTCGCATCTCGCTCTTTTGTATTAATAATTTTGTATAAAGCTATATTTCATTAAAACTGGCAGAAAGAAACTCATAAACATTTCCTGGGCGAACCGAGGGCCGTGTGAAAATTCAGTAAATGAGGTCAATAAATCGGTACTCCCGAAGTGTGTGAACCAAGATGGCGGACACCGGTACGTAGTATGTGTACCAGGTTAGGGTTAGGCCATAATTTTATTCCAATTTTCCTTATTTTAGTTCTATTACGAGTTCGGAGGCTAACCAAGTGACTCCCATAGTATTTGTACCTGAAATTGTGGCCTAACCCTAACCTGGTACACATACTACGTTCCGGTGTCCGTCATCTTGGTTCACATACTGCGGGAGTACCAATAAATCTGCTCAATGGCTTCATTTGGTACCATGCACCAAAAAGTAGCTGTGGATTCAGTTTTTTGTGAAACGGAAGTAACCATGACGTGAGCACCATAGGTGAATTATCCCAGGTTCAAACCTTATACCAACCAGCCTACCTCACCCAGAATGAAATAAATAGGGCAGGAATTGTCTAACTGGAAAGTTATCCTATCTTTTCAAAACTCCTTGCATAACAGCTTATATGTAGCCTTGTTCAGAGTGATGGCTTGAAATCAATTGACAAAAAGGTTTTTCAAAATTTACATCGTTTCCCACCTGTTTTGAGCTTGATATATGATGGACATTGCAACTCTTAAATCCGTCGGCGGCAGAATCTCCTGATCGCTGTATTTGAACCTTGCGAATAGATGTTTCATGGCACAAAATATACAAGAACTTTCGCCGACACAATTATGTCCAGTCATTCGAGCAAAATTTGTTCGAAAAACATCCAAATGCCAAAGTACTTGAACAGCACTATTGAGAAAGCAGTTATTCTGTCCAGGCTGGTTCTCTAGTCCTTTCGTTTTGACGGATAATCTCCCCGATTTATACAAAGCCTTGTTTTTCTTGAGCCATGGAATCATGGTGATGGCTGGTGATATTTAATGCTACCTTGGCAACATTTGTCAATGTAGCATTTGGTGAATTTCGATTGAAACTCAAATTTTAAAATAACTTGACTGGGAGTTATAAATTACATTTTATATTGATTGAAAATACATGTAAATATAACTGTACAAAATAAATATTAACATAAGGCTTTATCAAGAATTTTAAACTTGTGGCGTTAAAAATCTCTAAAGTTGCTGCACATTCTATAGCAATTATATAAAGTAAGACCTCAAGACCACCTAACTTTCTCAAGAGCTGAGCCATGAAAAACGAAAGTATAGTTTAATATATTTCTTTCAAGTTTTTTAATGAAAATTACGTTAATTGCTAAATGATCTGATACTGGTCACAATGACGAGGCAAAGTCAATCAATTTTATTTTTGACAACAAAAACAGGCAAGCTGGTTTCTCTTTCGTGGGAGAAAAGCACAATACATCAATTCTGCCTGAAGTTCAATATCTATCCAGAACACAGAGAATAATCATTGGAAGTCTATTTACAACTAGATTTAAATATGATTCTTAAGGAAAATCAGAATAAAACTATCTTAACTATGGCCTAACCCTAATCTGGTACACATACTACAGGAGTACCTTTTATGTGCCTTACTTCACACCGAAACGCCAGTTTTTGTTCTATTTTACACTGCATGTACATTACCTACTCTCAGCATTGGTAAAAAAAATGACTGACTGATAAGGAACTCACGAGTTAATTACTGTAATAAGCTTTAATTGCCAATCTAGTGATGGCCTACTCACAAGCAGCTATTAATTTGACTATTTGTGAAAAATATAATCTCTCCACTCAGTCATTTAATATACATGTGACACTCATATGGGTGACGTCACTAGCAAGGTAAACAAAATAAAAATGAAATGAATATAAATAAAGCTATGATCACACAGCTCTATTGACAGTTCAGCTTACAGCAAAAGATAATTATTTTCCTAATATGGAATTCTTTATGTAAGTGATGTCATTCTTATACAAATATATCAAACACATGAGAAATATTATGACAAGTGTTTCATTTAAACAAGCAAGGAATAAAATATGGTGTTAGTGTCATCATAAAAAATGTTAGTATGTCGGTGTCATAAAAAATCTTCTGAATCCACAATATGAACAGGAATTTGATTTACCTAATCAGTGGTTTTCAACAACAATAGTTCACGCAGTATAGTCCAGGTTTACATTCAAATCTGAGAGACCACATTATTATATGTATATTGTTGAATATAACCACATACACATACACAGGTGTACTATAATTATATAATAAGTGTGTGTTTCTAACTTTCTATAGTGTTTTGTGAAAGATGTTCATGTGTTTTTTTGTTAAATTCTTGTTCCATATTTTGTTTGTCATATTTTATAAAAAAAAATATCAACATGTAATCAATTACACAGGGACAGATTGTAGGCTCTGAGAAGGTTCATTAGAATTTCACCCCACCAAAAAGGTTGTATAATATGACACATACAACATTCTCTTGTCATTACAAACCAATGAAAAAAGTCTGTGTAGCCATAATTTAAGTAAAATTACAATTGCGTAATGGCATAGACTACACGGCTCACATGATTTGTGTGTCAGACCGACTAAAAACACAAAACCTATTTCATAAAAGAAAGGCATTTTCTCCCAACCCAGACACAAAGACGGATCCAATTAAACTATATAGTGTTATGTTTGTTTCTATTGAAGATAAAATGAAACCGACGAACACTAAAAGGAATTGTTGCTATTATATCAAGAAGTCTATGCCATATGTTACCTACTAAGGTTTGGGTCAGAAATAAGCGATACCCATTATGGATGGAAAATAAACGGTGGGACTCACCCCAGAAAGGGCTGTAAACAATTTTTTGAGGGAGTGTGAAGCTGATTAAAATGAAAATATTCGTTAGAATTTTGGATATTACATTTCTTCATTATGTACACATATTTTCCAAGTGTTTTTTGAACAAAACATACTATAGAATTACTATCTGTTATTCATAGCTTATTGCTAGGTAGTTATTTTAAATGGTGGGGCGCGAGACTTGACAAATTCTAAAAAGGTTCGAAAACTTTGAGGCATTAAAATTTAAAACCTGTGGTAAATCTCACATTATAATGTATGGTAGACACCAAGATACATATGGCAGCACCAGATGAACGCTCATTAATGTAGGATGCACAGTTACATATGTTATTGGTTGAAACTTGTAAACCCAGTAGCATTTGAAACCAATAATTTAGTGAAGCAACACATTGCCAAAACATATTCATTTAAATTAATAAATAAAAATCCCATTGATTACTATTTCAGAATATCTAATAATTAGAAATTTGAACCGAATAATCATTCGAAATGAATACCGAAATTTTTTCAGTGACATTTGCAACTGAATATTTCTCTGGCATAAAAGATGACAGAGAAAAAAACGATTTGAACCAAAGCTGACCAAAGACAAATAATTCACAATTATAAATACATTCTAGAATAATATTTTTAAATGTGGAATATGGAATGTACCGTATATCCTTGAATATAGGCGGCATAAAAACAGCCATAGAACGGTGAATTTATAAAAATTCGCATATAAGCCGACCTCTTAGTTTGGCACTTTTTTCTGAGTTTCATACTTCTATTATCTGCGAGAATATGAGGTACAGTATTCTAATTTCTCGTGTTTTTATTTTTACCTTGTTAGAAGTTTAATTAAGACTATTTTATGTCTCACGATCATATTATGCCACATGCTAAAATGATAACTTGCATGTGAAAAATGAAAATTCTTCTTATTGAAATCATATATTTATTAAGGCGAACATAACAAATTTTGAATGTATTTGAATCTTTTTGGACATACTTATTTTATTTTGGATTAAACAAACAGATAAAGAAAGCACATCCCTGAGTTGAGAACACACAGGCAGAAACAAACTAAAAAAAATCTGTTTAATTCAAGAGTCTTGCTGCACACTGACACAAAGGTATTTCTGGGTTTCTATAAATGCAATAGAAATTATGAAACACCTGTAAATATTTAGAAAAAAAACTAAAGTACGGTAGGTCAAATACATTTGTGTTAGTGTGCAGCAAGACCCTTGAATTGCGTAGTATTGGTCTAATTTATTCCAGCTACAGCATCCATGCTTACAAGCATACAGATCCACTTGCACAAGAGAATAGAGCAGGGGTTCCCAAACCAGGGGTCGCGACTCCAAATTGGGTCGGAGTGATAAGTAGGTAGGGTCGCAAACAGGTCATGGGGTCGGTGGGGTCGCTGAGTTATGGTAGAGGATGGATGTACAAAACATCTAAGATTTGATAAACCATTTTATATTTAGCAGTTTGTCCCATGGCTTACTGTAAAACAGGCCCATAGGCATCGCTCTATGCTTATGCTAAAGAAAATGTAGGTGCTTATTGTGACATCACTGTTTGGTTTTAGCTTATTTTACTTAATACCATCACCAATCTCAAAAGTCCAGTGAAAGAAGCTCTAAACTTCCATGAAAAAAAAATATATAGACCTGGGGTCGCACTGGACACTTGAAAGTTGTCTTTGGGGTCGTCATGAAAAAAGCTTGGGAACCCCTGGCATAGAGCAAGGGAAGGTAGTTAGTTTCATGTGACCCCAAATAATAATAATAAACAAATATTTTTAGATCCAATTGTAGGATATATGGGTATATGCTCAGTAAAACTAAACTTAAAAAGTGTTTATAAATTCTAATTCTAGGATATATGGGTACACCGTACATGCTCAATAAAACTAAGCATAAATTTTTTTTTCAAATTCCCATTTTGGGATATCTGAATAGATGATTAATAACTGGAATTTAGATTCCAGTCTGTACTACATTATCACAGGAAATGATATTGTATGCAAAGTATTGACACAGAATGCAATTTCCTGATCTGGCATTTCCTGACAAAACAAACAAGGATTGATCATCAGTGCTCTCTGTTTTAACCAATTTCGAGCATGGTGATTATTTTAGAGAAGTCTCAATCATTTTACAATACTACTATAGAAATATAGAACTCTGAATGTTTGAAAAACAGCAAAATATGTCAGATTGCAGTCTAGTATGAAAGTAACTGTATCTGGAATGACTTTTCTCAATTTTCAATAAAAAAGAGCAAATAATAAAAAAAAAAAAATTAATTGAAATTGAAAGTATTACAAGTAAATAGTTGGTCTTTAAACTCTAATATAATCATATTTAAAAGCAATATTTCTCAAAGTAATTTACCTATGAAAAATTACAGGAGATTAATATGAACTTCACTCAATTTTTTTGAAACCTCCTTTCCAGATTTTTCGTTTTGGTTTATTAGAGCCTGTTTGCTTTGAGTCAAATTTTATAAATTGATTGCAAAAACAATTATTCAAGATTAAAACTATACAGTATATAGGCAACCTACCTAATTAAACCTCACAATAAAACTTGCATTTTTCAATGCGAATATATAATTTTTAATCATCAGTTGTTCTCAAACTTTTTAAGCATTCCTTTTTTTAGAATTTGTCAAGTCTTGCACCCCAACTCAAAAATAACTGGCTTACAATAAGCTACAAATAACAGATAGTAAGACAGAGGTATGTTTTATTCAAAAAAAACATGTTGAAAATACGTAGATATCCAAAATAAGGCTGGCAAGATCAAATCTAACATATATTTTTGCCCCTCAAAAAAACTTCGAGAACCACTGCAGTATACAATCATAGCCAAATTAAACTCAATTTTATCAAGTTTCTCATAGCAATTCAAGGAATAAAAATTGAGCCAACAATTACACGGCTGGCCAAGGTGAGAAAATCTAATTAAATATTGATAAGCTTTAAAAGGCACTCCTATTGCGAGATTAGTCCAGCTTTTGGTCAAAAAAATTCAAATCGATCCAAGTTTCAATCATGATAAATACGTCAGTTTTATTTATAAAATGACTGCACCGTATCAAATCCATTTGTTTCTGTAAAAATTTTACACTCTTTAAACTTTTCCAAGAACTTCAGTTATTGTTATGTGGAATTCACTACCTCATAGCTGTTTTCTTGATCGTACTGATCAGGGCCGTAGCCAGAGGGGGGTTCCAAAGTCTGAGTTCCCCCCTTTGAAATGTAAAAATAAAGAATTATTTTTCTGTATCATACATAGCAATTTTTCGCAGCTTGAAACACATTCAGACCCTCATTAAACCTCTTGGAAACCCACGTTTTTCTCTAGCTCTGCTAACTTGGCAATTAAAAACTCCCTGGCTAGTGATATCAAGTCTCCTGTCAATGAGTATTTACTTACGCAGTTCTACACTAAAACTCCTTGCCTTGAGAAATTTTCCTTGAAAAAAAATGTTATCTTGCCTAGTACAAGGGTCCGCAACTTTTTTCTGCATTCATCACTTTGCCTATCTCGAGCTCTTCATTACCGCTTGCCACCCATAAAAACTATGTTTTCGTTTGCAATAATGCTGAATACGGAGACAATGTCAGTAATACTACACACGAATATTAAGTACAAAATCCTCCCTCATACCAATTAAATAAATGGTAACCATACTACGAGACTACTCGTCAGGAGACATATATTATTAAAAAAACTTACAGGCCTATCTATTCAAGATCACTGGAACAAGCAATTAGCTGGCTGTTTCCATACCCAGTTTAAATAATAATAACAAAATAAAAGGCCATCATTTGGCACGATTATTAAGATATCTTATGGATTTTTCTCATCCCGAATAAAACGTAAAACCAAAAAAATACACCTCTAAAAATATAGAGAGACAACTTTGCTAATTAGTAAATTTCAAGGCAACTTTCGTATAAGTTTTCCTCCCCCCTGAGATAAATAAATACAAAACCCATCCAAAATACGGTACTCCCATAGTGTGTGTACCAGGTTAGGGTTAGGCTATAACTTTATTCAGATTTTCCATATTTTAATTCTATTACGAGTTCGGGGAATGTCTGTGTTAGTCAAGTAAATATACTTCCTGCCCTTAGTAGTTTCAGTCCCTTTACACAACTTGATGAAAAGTAGGCAAATGAAATTAGTTACCTCCATATTAGTACACATACTTCTGGAGCGCACAAAATACTTCACCAAAAATTCGAAACATAATATAGCAAGTCAACCCTGCAACTCCTGTAATTACTACACTTTAACATGAATTTCTCACTGTGCATTCCACACAAGCCGATCTAACTCAGATTTGCCAACCAAAACAACCAGCGATTACTTTTAATTACTATTGCCCTAAGGGCATGCTTGGTCATTGAACTACACTGATTGCTAAATCTCATTAAATCCATTTAAGATAGTTTAACATTGTCAATTAGATATTTAAATTGAGAACAGGTTTGAAAAAGAATTTAACTTTAATTTAATTTTTGGAATTTAACTTGCGCAAAGAGGGCTGAATTATCAAGAAAAAAAAATAAACTATAAGCTTCACGAGACAAATGCTCTCATGGTAAGTCCAAATCAGAAGAGAAAAATGAAAAATTCTCCCTTCTTATGTTGTTTTAATTAGTTCTAATATAATAATATGCCAAAATTCTATAATCTATCTAATAAACAATAAACTTACTTATGAGATTTAAAAAAAAAATAAGAAAGAAATTTTACCAGTAAAAGTTTTTTTTTGTAATATTTTGCTGTTCTTTTATTCATAGAATTTGCCAAGATTTGGAACCAAAAAAATGGTCTCATACCAATTACCAACTATTTTCTGAACATTCTCAACAGGTGAAGTGTCCTCTCATACAGCACACAGCCTTATGCACCAGCATGATGGGTACCTAATTAAGGTACCAACAAATATCACCTAATTAGCACTTCGACAAATTAGCGATATCTCACCAATCCATGCAGTCTCGGAAACTCTTTCCATATCAGTGGCAATACAAAGCTTTGCTCAGAAAGGAGTCTCCTTTATTTCTAAGTAAAGCTGTTGGCATTTCATCGATTACCGTAATTATTACAAATACATTCTAAAATAATATTTCAGAAATGAGATAAACATTGCTTGAAAACTGAGATAAAAAAATTTTGAATGGTAAAAAGGTAAATTTATATCCACCATCAGGTCGAATATGCTTATTGAAAAGACTTATTTTTAAATGAAAATACTCTGTGCTATTGATTGGGTTTCTACGAGACTAACAAGAGTCTTGCTGCACACTAACACAGATATATTTCTGTAACATTTCGTCTGACCTTGGTTTACAGAAATATATTTGTGTTAGTGTGTAGCGAGACTATTGAATCACTTAGGATAAATATTCTGAATTGATCTTAAGAATTCACTATATCAAATAGGCCATACCCAATTTAAAATATTTGTTTTGTTCTGGATATTACTATCATGAACTTATCTAAATCAGATAAATGTCTAACATTACCAAATCATAGCGACCGGATCGCTTTTGCACTTCAGACTTTGATTTTCTAACCTCTGCCTTTGAATTTCATATAGTCCATCATAAATTTCAGCACTCTCATGGCAATTGCGTAGTCTACTATTAAATAATTTTAAATATTGATCATCTGTAAATCTAAAAATTAAGCGGATTCAGTTTAGAGACCAATACATGCATGGATAATAAATACAATACTATAGTGCTGTTGTAAGAATGGGTTTGTCTACTTTGGTACTTGGTCTACCTTGAAAACCAAAAAAATGAAAAATAAAAGGATGATAAATTCATCCTTGCAGGGAATAATACACAAATAAACTCGGAGTGTGCAGTGCTATAGAGTAAGATCTACTTCAAGCTTGTACTATGAGCGTGGGGTCTACCACCATATAGCGTAAGATCTCATAAACCACTCATAAGCTGGTACTATAGAGTGAGATCTATCTCAAGTTACTTAGTACTATACGCATGAGATCTACCTCATTAATATTAAGTGGATCCCTGCTAGAGTTAGGGTGAAACATTTTGAATTACCCTCAATCAATATGAACTAGTTCAGGCCGAGTAAAGATATGACACCTGTCAGGCGACACATATAGGCAAACTTCACGCTATAGCAAACTGATTACACTAATATTGATTTTAGGGTTGTGATTTGCGGAACTGTACCAAAGTAGAGTGGACCCATTAAACATTCTGGTACAAATTGATGAAAATGGGCCAAACATGGAGCAAGCATAAAATACGAATTCTGTGGTTTGCCCTTGCTTGAATGTACATAAAAAAAACAATGTTTTACTGAAAAGCAGAATAATTATCCAAAACTGATATTCGAAAAAATGGTCAGATTAGCTTGAACCCTTCAAATACAACAATATCTTCAAATAACTAATTTCATTTATAAGAAACATTAATAATATCAGCTTAATAACTACAAGCAAATTGCATGAAAAAATTCACAATAATAATCCAAGGGCTTCAACTCAAAAGGGCACTACCAGCATCTTTAATCTTTTGTTGAAACTTTGGTAAATATGCCATCAAACTTTGAATAATAAAACAGCTCAAAAAGCAGATTTTTCTTCATAATTTTTCCTCATAAAATTATTTCAAAATTCAAATTTCGCCCTATTGTCTTGAAACCCTCTATATTACATTTCTATACCAAACTGAGATACCAACAAAGTGAAAAATAAGCTTCATTGGTCAGGCATAAATAAGGAAAGGATAGAGCAGCATCTATTTTATTCTATACCCTCAGTTCTACCTAAATTGAGAAAAATAAAGCAAAAATAGGAAATTGAAATTTAAGACGACCTGATCCATTAAAAAATACCACCGTCTGGTGCAAAAAAAAATGTTTTCATTAAAAGCACTCTTCTCGAGACCTCTAATTGTTTTCTTAGAAAATGCGCTCGAATACAGGTCATCAATCATTTTTTTATGACATTTACTAGCTTTCAAAACAATAAAATTTACAAGGTTCAATTTACAGGTACCTAGACTCTCCAGGGAAAAATCTATTTAACATGGATTTAAATTCAAAATATTGGGCCAATTTCAAGCACATATTGTGTATATTGATCAAATGTTTAATAAAGTTTTGAGGCATTTTGACGATGCTCAGATATTTTCTAAATTACACTCCATCCAGTAATAGTCAATATTAAATTGAAATTTTTTGTACAAATTTCAAATATCAGAGACATTCTGATATTTCTTATAAATAAATAATTTTCATTTCATAACATTTGCTTGCGGCACAGAAACCAAATTAACAACAAAAATAATCATTTATTGGGAATTTTGATAATATTATGTCTTGAGGTCCACCACCATTATGTCAGCTACGCAGGCGCTGTCTGAGTTCTACTGTATTTGGGTTAGGGTCAGATCCATAGCATTAATGGCTAAATATAATGTATAAAAATAAGTGATATCCATTAGGGATGGAAAATGTATGCCTCTCGTTAAAAAACAAGCTTGGGCCAATCCCATGCTATAATAGCACCAAAGTTTTCACATTTATACTAGCACTGGATCTAAATATTTCAAAATTTCTACAATATAAACTTGTCATCACAAATTGCTGCTCAAAAACCGAGCATAAAACGAATCCAGACAATTAAGTAACCAATGGTCGATGGCCCCCCCAGAAAGCGTTATACAACAAAATTAATTTGGCATATAATAAGATCCTAGGCACCAAGCGTATATACGGATTTTTAAAAGGGAGGTTTGCATTTAGTAAACAATAGGATAGCCAATATAATATATAAATTTCAACACAAGATATCCCATTTGCATTCCATGTAATAAATTTTTTTTTTTATTAGTTACATAAGCCAGCGCTTAGTAATGAAGCCTCTGTCAAAATGTTGAAATTTCAATTTGCCACTTGGGAGTTTTTAAACGACACTATTAAATCTTTCAATGTCTTACACTTTTTAACAGAGTGGGTCACAAATCACAATATACTATTCTATATGGAAATGGGAATTTGAATTGAGCTTTAATTTATCTTCAAACCAAAAAGGCTGATAAACACTGCCACTGGTTCATTGTATAATCAAATTTTCACCCTGAAAAGGGCTTGAATTCTTAAAACAGTATTTTTTCACCTTTTTTTCTCTTTGTGGAGCCTTTCAAAATCGCTAAAGCAGCCACAGACTGGTTATGGATAAATAAAGGTCTTATTCAGCGAAAATGTAATGTGATAAACTCGCAATTATGCATTTTTACTTAACAGAGCAACCGCACACTGGGTGAATGCCTTAATTTCATAAAACAAAAAAAAGAATGAGATTTCTGAGAACAAGTCTTGAAACATGTACAATTTTCACAAACCCCCGTTTCAGAAACACCGGCTTGAAATATACAATATAACGCTCAGTCAGGAAAATAAACTGCCATATCTGAACAACCCACCACCTAATTACACATTAAATTATAAGTTTTACATAGATTTACAAAAGAAATATATATAATAATAAATTGACACAAAACATTGTGAAAAATACTATCATAAATATGCATGGTGCCGACTGCGAACTGTAGGACTGCAGTATACTATGTATATTGGCCATTACAAGCCAAATAAGAACAAAAATACTAATAGTACCAGTTGGCAAAATACTTCGAGGAACTTCAACTTCATGGGTATAACCACACTAACCATGTCTTTTAGATATACTGTATTTTCCAGATACTAAGCCGATTTTCTAGACACAATTTTTCGACCTGATTTTAGGTCGAATTATTTGGCAGCCAAGCTTTTAATTAACTTTGGACCATCGTGGCTATTTATTAATAGATGAATATTGAACATGAAAAACCAATAATGCCATGCTGGGCAATTTTGGATAATTGTTAGATTATTTCATTGCATGGAAAAAGATACCTTGTGCATATCACAATCATCATTTACGTCATGCAAAATTCATTGGTATTGTGGCCATGGCTGGGGAGCCGGAATCTGGAGCAATGACATTTTGGCGGAGTTTAAGTCAAGCTTACCCTGTTAGATGAAGCCCGAGCTACCAGAAACATTAATGGCTCCAGCTTCGAACCATCTAATTAATTTTCAATATTTAGAATTTTTTAATACTTCATACGCATAGTAAAATCTATCCTTTTCAGCTCATAAATTTTTATTCCTTTCAAATTTTTGAAGCAGGGGTTCTAGTTGATAAAAATCATATAGGAATACACTTAAATTGACTTGATAAAAGGTCAAGATGACTTTAAAACCCACACAAGTAAAGGTAGAATAGGACAGCTTGATATGGTCCATTGCCTTGGCACATATATACAAATCAAAATTGTGCTTAATAATACAGGAGAGAACACCCACAAATGAGATATACTTCATAAAGGAATGCTCAAGTTAAATGATACAAATTTCACAATAAAACGGTAAGAAATATCAGACAATGTTAAATAATAAAGGAAATGATTGGCTAATAAAAAGCAACCATACTAATTATACTATATCAGTAAATAAGACAAATCTACGATAAAATAAAGTTGCCAATTTGCTACGAAAAACTAAACAGACATCAACAAGCTAAATGAGTAATTTTAGAAGAAAGATTGTCATTACTAAGTTTCCATAACTGAGAGTACAAGAGTTAAATTGATATATCCATTTCAAATGCATCGTTTTTTTCAAGGGAATGATGCTCAAATCAAGGGGGAATATCAATGTTGATAGTAGCACCCAAAAAACATCTGACACATTAATAGGAGTTACAAATGGGACTATTATTGAGAAGAAAAGGTCAGCAGATGTTGGTTGTCCAATTGATTGTAGAATATATGCGATAATTCGGGAATGAGGGAAGGTTTCCAAGCCCATAAAGGGTCATTTAAATAATAAACTTACTGTTTCGCAAAATTAACTTTACAACTTTCGATATCAGAATCCAAATTAGATGTACATGAAGAAAATTTAAACCAGTAACCTTCTACAAAGAATATTGGATCTGAGAATCCCGGTCAGATCAGTGGTCATGTCGCATTATAGTCCAACAATCGACTTGTTGTATTTATCATAGATTAGAATTAAGCAAGAATGTTATGCGATACGATGAATATACCTCCACTCATACCAAAAAAATACGTATTTGTTTTCACAAAGTATAAAAGCACCAAGAGCATAGTTTTGTTTTTCTGGGGGTTTGCTTCATTTGTGCAAATCTTAACATAACATATTTATTCATAAACTAACATTTGCACATCGCAAATTTGTCCGACTCATAGTTTATTCCTTCTCTAGAAAAGATGACTTGGTTTGTCCTGGTAACTTCGGAGCTACGCTAAATTGTTGTAACGTAGCTTCAAGCATCTGTTGATTTCCTGCAAAAAATGCAGTTACAGCATTGTGGAACAATAGGAGGTGTTTCTGCATGACTTTGACACGATTTTCATCCAAAAACTGAAGTTTTACTCCAACATCTTTCCTCAGTTTTTCATAAAGTTCTTTCTGTTTGTTGAAGTTAACTTCAGCGGCTCCTTGTTTTGAAACAGTTGCTGCTGTTCTCGGAGATAGTGCCAAAGTTTCCAACTCAGTCCGATAAGCATCGAATTCCACTCTTGCCTGTTCGTACTTCGTAACCGTTAGGAGAGTGTCTTCCATGGTCTTTTTACACAATGTATTGATGCCGTTAATGAAAAATTGAATAGCTGCAAGCAAGCTTTCACCATTTTTCACAAGAACTTGTTGAGTGTCCGAATTGTACCGAAACTCTTCTTTCAACTCGTTTGACTTGTGAGAAAGCTCATTAAACGCTTCACTGAGTACACGTTGGGCTTGCATCATGTTTGAAATATGAGTGCTCAAAGCCTGTGAAACTGCAGCAAGATTTTCATATTTGCGTTTTGTGTCTCGTAGTATTTCAATTTTCGCTTCTAGCTCTACATCAACGGTTTTTGTTCCGCGGCCCAATCTTTCTGATAATATTTGCTTTGTACATTTGTACGTTTTTACACTCCAAGACTTCAAAAATTCTGCCTTTTCCATGGCTGTTTGTGTCATTGCTTGCATGCTAAGATTGCTTGCACCGGCAGCAGGTTTTTGAAATCCAGTGTTGCCGTTTGAAAACCCTGATTGCTTAACAGCCGAAGGTGTGTATATGGGTGACTGTTTGGGGGCTCCAAAAGGCTGATAACTGTCACCACTCTGCGACCCATTTGTCGCGGAAGGAGGAGGTTCTTCACCAGCTAATCTGCTCCCTACACTGGACGAACCCACTCCTCCAGATGGAGCAGACATTTCGTGCATCATTTTCGCTTAAATAAATATCTCTACAATACAATATACACAAGCTAGGTATGAAAAAAAACAAATTCAACTCTCAGTAATGGAAAGTGAGGATGGGTGAGCGAACACGTACCGGTACCGGTACTACTTCTTCTATCAATACCTTTCCATCTAAAATCTGTACGTTTCAAACCTTACTCTAGGTTTTGTTCGCTTTCCCGATTCTATAATCAGTTACTTTTACTTTTATCTTTTTTTTTATCGTCTATTGCTGATTATGGAGTCGAAATAAACTTATACTTATACTTATACTTATAAAACAACCAACTCTCGACAAAAATATGGTAACGCAAAGCGATTCCGGCGATTGCGCCGCAACGTCATCCCCAAACAGCCACTATATGTTGGTGTTCCCATGATTCAATTAACAGGAAATATAAATATGTTATTTTATTTCTCTAGTAATATTTTTTAATCGAATAATACAGTTTATATAAAATATCATTTTAAATTTTATATAGTATAGCAAAATTTAGTTTTAGTAAATGAATACAGATACAAATATTTTAATACAGATATTTAGTATTTACAACGGGAACACTCAGTAGTAAATCGTAAAGCGTGACGTAATACCAAAGTAACGTATCAATCCGGGTGTTTTTCCTATTCGTTTAAATTTTATTTTTGACAATTGCACGTGACAGCGCGAGTTACATTCTGTATTAGACAAATTAATTAACGGTATCGTAACAAAGGCAGGTGAACATGATTCGGATATGGAAATAATTGCATAACTGTTCAAATCCTATCGTAATTCGCGCTAAAGGCTTTCTCACAAATAAACGACTCGCTTTCAAGACAACTAGCAACTCCTGAAATGAGAAATCACATAAAGATTCACAATATGCTATGCTAAATTGAATACTTTAACAGAGACAGATTTATTGTTTCTTCAGTCGGAAAACAAGCATTGCAACAATAAAAAAGAATATACAAAATCCACAATGTTATTCGATATAACCTTAATGCGCGCTTATAGTCGTCATAATTACTAACAGATAATCAAAATCAAACTTACATACATAGGCGCATGGGAAACCTAAACGGTCTGGTAAATAGATATCTGATAATAATCAATCAATCAACATGATTTTTACTTCCTGCAACACAAACGAAATAATTGAAGTAGTGCCGGAAAGTGGGACAGAGGGGTGGTATACAGTCGGCTAATAAAGCAGCAACATCAAGCCTACAAATGTATTAATTTCACATTGATTTTGTCATTGTCCTGCTTGTGACTCGTCCATTCAATATACGCATGCCTCTAATGGCGGAAAAAACATTTACAGAACAAGGGTTACGAGAACCACTCAATCACAGCGGAGGCTATCTCATCTTGTTTTCTCACTTATATTTATGGAGTCGAAATAAACTTATACTATTATTATACTTATATATTTTAGCGACACCCAGAATCCAAATCTATCAGCTGCCTAGACTTTTTACCAAGACATGTTTTCTCACTTCGATCGATCGAAGAATCGATTCAATGTTGCGGTTTGGTTTTTCCGTTAGAAATTGTCTTCTCTGTTATGTTAACTTACTGGTAGATATAAATCAATTAAGCGTTCTATTCGTTATCCAGAGAAGTCGAAATACGACACCGAAAGGCGGATTGTAAATTAAAATTAGTTCTCTGTTCCTAATTATCGCTGTTGTTCAAATTGCTTGTGACAACTTTTTATAAAGGCGGAGGGTCAGTTTCCATAAGCTAAAACTTCTCATAACTAAATTGAGCATTGATTTCTGGCAACAAATAGTCGAACTTAGTTCAATGGCCCGGAAAGCTTTCATTGTTAACTTACAAGATATGAACTCTTACGCAACAATCAAAATTTTGTCCTCGTCAGGAGACCCCTTTTAACTGCGCAAATTTTCCGGGCAGATTGTGTGCTAAACGTGTTCTTGTCATAGTTTTCGATTTAATGTGTGAGATTTTGTATTAGTTTTGTTTATAAACGAAATAATTCAGCCGTGGGTAGTTCCACGGTTACCGCAGTAGTGAGAAGGGTACCGTAATAACGTAAGGCAGTATCGGGCTGAAAATTATTTGTTATTCGATGCATTTGAATAGTTAGAAGTTGAATGCGCGCGATAGCCTAATTGCTGCAGCGCTGGATCAATTACGCTGGCATGATTTCGAATAGGACAAGCTGTGCCGGATTCTAAAACCTTACGTATTAGTAGATGCTTGTACAAAGACATATGAAGGCGTGAAAACAGGGTCGGCCTTAGGTCACCAGAACCAATGCGATCGAAGTAGACACGTTATTTCTAGTTCTAAATTATAGAAGTTAACCAATATAAAGTATAATCATGTATAAGTCAGAGTGTTAATTCTGTACTCACAAGACTCGTAAAGTTACCTTGATTGACATTTAGTCCTCAGTTGAAGGTAATATAATGTCAACGAATTCATTTGTTATTACAAAATCTTAATTTTCGGTACGTCCCCGCAAAAGTTGAGGCCGATATGAAGAAACACACTTCCCAAATAATATGTGTTTGTTATAATCCATTATCCAACCAATCCCTAACGTGGTAACTTGTAGAAACAGGCTCTTGATAATCAATGGGATTAATTGAGAAGCCATATTTAAGAAAAACCATTATCGAAGTGGGCGGTTCTTAACCAGTTTTCGAAGTCTCCAGAATCCGCTTCCATCCGTAGTCTATTGCGAGGCATGTTTTTTTTCAAGTGTTCATTTTCTTATTATGCATGCACGTTTTAGTCACTCTAATTAAAACGATTTCCGGTTTCTAAGCCTCATTTATTTAGAGTTAATGCTCAAATAGACTTCATGTGGGGTTTTGTTTGTCTTACCGGCATATTTAGCCATCAATTTATTTTTAATGCATTGCGTTTTCATAATGACGAAATAATTCGCAGTGCTGGGGTAACTAGAGTCGAGACACGGACTCAAGTAACCCTCAACAAAAAGACTAGTCTTGGATATCCAATTCCTTGTACTTCTGACAATAATATTAACGTAAGCAAAACGTAGGATGCCTGTATTGAAAGACCTAGGATCTATTGTACAAAGCCCCCGCCACTAATGTGAGAATTGAGAAAAACGCCATGTTTTTAAATAACAAACTGGTAATTACCCTAGTTGAGGTTAGTAATGATTTAAAAATTTGCATTCCAAACCCCAACTGGATAATAAGTAATTTTTTTTAATTTGAGCGTTGGTGGGGGCTTTTTACAGAAGATTTAAGACCTGTTGCTCTATTTATGCTTTTACGTTGCATGTGTTGACAGGTATGATGTCCACCGGAATAATTAAGTGCAGTGCGACTGTTCAAGTTGTCGCCAAGGGTTCCACGCAATCGCTCTTTGGTTACAACCTTCTTCAATGACTTTTCGATGAATCTAGAATTCTAGAGCTATCAACGGAGTCGCTGTTCTTATGCTCGTTTTAGAGTTCAGTGCCGGCCCATAATAAAACCGCCTTGACGGCTTTCTATTCGTAAATATGAAATTCATCTATATGCAAGTGCGACTGCCCAATGAGTCAATTTTACTTTTTTACGACGTCTCTTACGCCCTTTACTTCAAACAAGGCTGCGCACAAGCGACCAATGCTATGTAATGAGCTACTATAGTGGGAATAGGAGCTACCTAATTTATTACACCCTGAGTGTGGACGAACTGCTGGGCATGAGATTTGAATCCGAGATTTTTAATCTGGAATGCCATCATATTTGAGTCCTACGCTTGAACCACCGACTCATAGACATAGCGCAATGACAGTCAGTCCGAAAATTGACAACTAGCGCTTTCACGCCAGCCGGATATATCTACAGAAAGTAACTATATGTTACCTCTGCCGTAATGTATGTTCTAATTCTGAAACACGCTTAGATCTTGTTAATGTTCCGTTTTCCTTTACCAGGTCTTTTTCAAGAGCAAATCACCAGTAAGCATAAGGTCGTAACCGTAATATAGTAGTGATGTAGTCAGTGAGCCCGCCATTTGTCACAAAGAAGAATTGGATATGTTGATTATCAATTGCGGTGAAGAAACATGGAATTCTTACTTATTATTGAGCTCCAATGAAGGTCAGCGGCTTACGTCTTGTCTTGAAATAAGGTCAGTAATTTCAAATCTTTCTTCGTGCTATAGGCTAACTGTTTTCATACTATAGTAGTCCTTACCTATATGGTTAGATACCAGAGACTGCGTGTATATGGTCTTGTTCGGATAGAAAGGCGTGGACTAGCATTCTATCAAAAGATGATTTCAGAATTTCAAATGTCATTTAAATTTGATGCTTAATATATCCACACCCCACAGCTATGTATCCATTGCATTGCGAGCGTAATATGACTTAGCCTGGCAGGGTAAATATTTCAGCTAATTCTTATTTCTCTGTAAAGTTGTTATAGTTAATCAGACAAGTCTTCATAAATCATATTTATTTGTACAATAGATGACGAAATAATGCAGGCTTCAAGTTTTATAGATGACATAATGAGGTGTAATTTCGGTGCCAGTAAACTTGAACCCACGTACATTTGAACCCATACATTTGCACCCGTATATCCGCGGGTTCAATCTATATGAGGGTTTTAAAATCCATGGATTATGGTTCGTATGGGTTCAAATATTCGTAAAAAAAAAACATAGTTGAAATAGTATGCAGGTGCAATTGTCGTGGGTTCAAATTACGGGTTCAAATGTAAGGGAACCGTTATTTCACGTCGCTATTTGACATTTCAAAATCGTTTACGATTTTTTTCGTTTGTTTCGATTTTTTCTGTGATAAATATCCACCAGTATTAAATTGTTGACTACAGAATAGCGTCGATTACTTGACGTAAATCGGATTCTTAAGTGTAGATAGCTTGTTAACGCACAGCAAAAATAAAATGGGCAAAATACTTTATAGGTCTATAACAATTACGCTCTTAGAAAGATCCAATGATTTAAAAAAGTCGAGTTTGCGATCACGTGTCGAATTTTGGTTAAATTCATGCTTTCTCATGAAATGGATGAATACACTGTATCTCTTGAGGTTCAAAATTGAAGAATAATAACGAGCATTTGTAACCGTCTAGTCGCTATAACAGAGACGTGGAGTCGAATGTTATTCGGAGTCGTATTTTGAATTTGTTGACGTCGAAATAGTTACTTTGTTGGAGTGGGAATTTTACGATTTTTTTAAAAGTACAAGTTCGCTCCTGAAACTAATTTAAGCTTTCTCATGCAGAGCGTTAAGATAGGCGGCGGTTTTTTGAAGGGCTCAGAGTTTAGTGTGGGATATTCCGACTTCATAATCCTGCTTAGTCACACCAGAAGTCCAATATTAGTAATGGCAATGTCAATACAAAATATATCGTTTGTGAAAAAGAGCTAATACGTTAGTATGGCGGCATGGCATCCACGATGTCACTAAAACAAGTATATTTCTCCAAGTGTTTTACTAAGTTTTCCGTTCAGTGACTTAATAATGAAGTTTTTCCACAATGAAAATAAGCTCGGAGAGAGTTACATCATAATCATTTTTCACAATGCAGATTGTGACGTCATACACCGGCGCATTTAGACAATGGTTGAAATATAAAATAAACGAAAATAAAAAAAAAAAGTGTTGGTTTGTTTCTATACAATATAATAGGAGAATTTTAATAGTTCAGGAAACAATAAGACAACTACAAATGTGTCATTAGTATGCAAATGGGCACGAACAATATCTAAGACATTATGTTTACACTGGGATTTTCTTCTCCCTTTTCATATATTCTAAAATTACTACGTATTATAGTAACGTTTTTTGTACTAATCTTCTGGGATTAGGGTTTAGATTCTAGACAGGGCAAGGTTTTGTCACATAGAATCATATGGGTATGTGAACATTGTGTTATGTGGACAACTTGCACGTTGATTAATTAAACATGTTTGAGGCTTTGGAAAAGTTTCTGTGTATGTCAGTAAAGAGTCTTGCACCAATACGGCGCTTTCTGCTTCCATAACGTATTTATTTAAAAATTTCCTCAAGTTTACGGAAATTTTAGACCTAATTAAAACTCTATTTATTCTGTCGGAGGCCCTTCTCGCATATTAGACGATTCGTCGTGGTAAGGAAATGGTCCATCATATGGCGATGACACGAATTCGGTATCGTCAACTATGTCGTCATTATCATCACTAGCTTCGACGACATTACTGTCGTAAATGTCCAGCATGACGTCATGCACTGCGTCATTCAAAAAGTTGTTGCCCGGTGCTTCTTCTAGTGGGGGTTCCTCTTTTTGAGAATCCTTATGCTGATCTTCATGGGAGTCTTCTGTGCCATATGTATGTACCTCCCAGATAAAATTATTTAACCCCTTCTCGTCAACAGAGCTCATTTCATCGTTGTCGTCACTCGGTTCAGATGCGGTAATTTCGTGACTTTTAGGATACCTAAAAGGATTTTCTTCAGAGGGTTCGTAGATCGGATCTCGTCCTTTCTCTGAGGCATACGGTGATCCGTACGGCTGGCCTTTAGGTACGTACGTGTCTGGTTTATAGTTAGGAGTCCAGAACGAAACACTCGGTTTTATGCTAATTTCCGGCAATCCAAATGTACCATGTTTCGGGTATGGATAGTCTTGGTTAGATGTATCATATAGGTTGATTTGGAGAGATGCGACCGGGACCCCTCTTGGGCGATGTTGCTTCGGTTTCTCCGGTAGATGTCGCTCACGAGAAAATTTTTGAAACACTTCTTTGTATAGCGAAAGCCGTGACTCTTCACTCGGTTTTGCTTCGGTCAATGATAATCGCATTCCATTAGTCAAGCACCAGAAAAAGCATTTAAGTCCTTTAACTCCGCCTGAGAAAATGGAAAATGGTTAAATGTGGGAAATAGAGAAAACTATTTGAAGAATTTATCATAAATATTATTTCGGATTTACTAGTTAAAGTTTGAGGCACAACGCGTGGATTTTACAGTGATAAAAGAAAAAAGCCTCTTAAAAGATATAAATGACCTTCTCATTCAAATCAAATCTTCTTTTATTACTGCCATACTATCATTTTTTCTAATTTACTTGTTGGCCTAACTATGTCGGCATCGCATGTTGGAAATTTTTTATCTTGGCTCAATTTCAGTGGTCAGATTCCGCATTTTCCACAGTAAGTGGTAAGTTAGTTATGATATGCCAACGCGAAGTCTTCATTTTCGTGCCAAATCTAAGTAACTCCTACGTCACAGTGATTGATTTGGGGATTTGTTTGGAGTAATTTCGGAAATATAATTCCAGGTATGAAGTGCTACATCTACTTACCTTCGTGTAACCAGCACATGTTCTGTCCTCCACCGCATTTTTCAAGTAGACCAAGCGCATTTATTCCAGCAGTTTTTCCTGCCTTCGTCATGCATTCAGCAAATGATACTAGAATGAATATATTTGAAATTGATTGGAGGAGCTATTAAAGTCAAATAACCAATGAAGCATTATTGAGAAATATTGATTCAAAGATTCAAGTAATTTGCAAATTTCGTTAATTTATTACAAAAATTTCCATTTTTTTAAATAGCTTCCACAAATTACTTTTATCGCTGGATGTAACCCACAAACTTATTGGGAGATGGATTTAATATAAATATATTGCGTTATTAGTTTGGTGGGCTTAAAACTTGTATTTATGCCACTATCCAAGCCGGCAACCACAAAAATTTGAAATTGGTCAAGTCTTTACCCAGTAGCACCATATCATTCCCGTAATATCGGCCAATTTTGTCACAAATTGTTTTGGAAATTTTAATATATATTAACGCAACAGACATATTTCTGGAAATTTTTAGATGGCTCTTCTGATAGCAGAAAATTTAATAACAATTTACAGCAATTTGGGTAAATATAAAATTGCGTCATTCCCAATTTTGCATTTTAATTTATTGTGTCGGTAGATGTCACAGGTATATCTTTGGAGCGAGGGGCCATTTCAGACAACTTTTGCTTGAGAGTAAACACGCTTAGAATATCAGTAGATGACACGCGAAAGAGTTATTAACCGTGAAATGGAATCGGGTAATGTCGGAGTTTTGGACAATGGTGTAAATTTAGATTTCATTAGCGTTTCGCGTGCCAAATTAGAAAAATGTCAATGGCTGATGTATTATTGAAAGTAATGGAGTCCTCCATTGTGCTGAATATACCTTCTTCATAGTTAACGACTAGAAGGTTAGTGCTAGTTCATCGCAACTGCTCTAAATTTCTCTCCACTCATATCGTTCAAGTAGAAATATTTATTAAAATATTCATTTTCGTATTCTTACTCCCTTCAAACTAGTGCGCATATTCATGAGTTTAAACCGTATTCCACTAAAATTTGATAAAACAAATATTTCAACACCATCTGTCTGTTATAAAAACATGGCGAATATAAAAGTTCGTTAAATCATTTAAAACCGACACTGACCCCAAAACCATGATTGGAAATCCAGATGTGTCGTCAATATTTCAGGCTGAAATCACAGCGATCTGAGCTTACCTTTGAATAGCGGATGCACTCTCAAAGCTTTGTCAATTGAGCTTGCCGAATAATCACAATATGGCCCCAAATATTCACTAGAGCAGTTGCATATTTTTCCACTTCCAGTCGTCACACAAGTTCCATCGTTCACACATTGAATATGGGTGGAACATTCGTACGGACCAATGCTGTTCTCAGAGTATTGTTGTGTCCTGGCAAAATAAATATTAGAACGTTTTTACCTTGGTATTCAATTTTTGGTGCAAAAAAGCATACTTGACTGACAATATTTGGACTTAGTAGAGTGGTCAGTTTCTGATAAGGGCTCTAATAGAATAACGAATTTTTAGTATAGCAGAGTTATATGTCTCTCGAGCTGATGCGTCACGGAATAGGCGTCACTTTGCGTCCCATAATTCGAAAGTAAATAACAATACAAAAATAGTCACCTCCATTAAAATATGCCATAACAGCTTTAAAATAAGTCAAGTCATTAGAACAATATTATGTTAACATTAGGGCACAATATGTTTTGACATGCTTGCGTTCCAGACGTTTATTTATTCATCTTATCTTCAACACGTTATGAATGTTAGGATATTAAATTGAATTCTGATAGTTGGGCTAAATGTTTTGATGAGAGAAAATTAGCTTTTACATCTTCAAAGAAATTATTGGAAATTTTATTGTCTGCTCCCTTTTGACCTTTACAAAAAATCTAAATTTAAGTCTGAGAAATGTTTGTCTGTCTCAACTCGTTTACTAGCACCATACACAACCCAACATAAGTTATTAAAATTCCAACATTATATAAAATAAACCATTGGTTAAAAAGAGCTTCGTAGTTGAATGCGTACTTCTAAAACTTTCCCGATCGAGCCAAAATAGGTCACTTTTTATAGCTAAAATATACAGGGTAGTGATGAGGGTACCCCTAAGTATTTAATATTTATTGATAATTAATGCCACCCTGTATATCATGCTAATTGACACAAAATTGCATTGTTGATGAACTTGTTTAAATGTTAAAAATGAGTTGCGCAAAGTAAATTTAGAACAACAATTTCGCATGATGTGTTTCGCGTCTCGTATTTCGCTCGCGTAATCGTTATAGTTCATCTTGGAATCTGTCATTTCGATTTAATATAGTGGTTCTAACGATAAACAATATTTTATCGCAGTATCTACTATTTAGAAATTTGCGAGATATAGTGCGTAGTTTTTAAAGTCGAACTGTGTAATAGCCGTCTATCACTTACTTTCTGTGCCCGTTTATCTAGAAATCCGTCAATTTCTGACGCTACCCGTTCAACACCGCGTTATATTACACACTGTTTTAAAAACTTGCGGTATGGATTGGGTATTTTTGAGGCAAAAAATCCATTTAAATTTAGACATTAAACTTAAGTATTTACAATAACAATTGATATATCGCCGTGACAGTACACACCTTGCCACCCAGTTATCTCTCCTAATCTTTATAACGTGATGCTTTTGTTTCCATTTTTAGAAGTTATTGTGTTGTTACCAATATACAGAGCTAACCTCACGTGTGCTTAGTGTATATTTATTCAGGTACCACGCACCCAACTTATTTAATGAATAACTAAGAAAAATTGGATTTAAATTTTTAATAGGACGCTTTTCGCTACGAACGAACCCTTATACACAGTATAGTATATTGTTAGATATTAGCACCGCGTGTGTAAAATATTTCTCCCGATTTTATAAAAGAAACAATGAAAAATATCTTCGTCTTTGTTTATTAATAGTTCTTAATGGTCTTGTAGTTCTCATTTATCATACAATAAAATTCATCCAAACTTACAATCGTTATTACTATAAAATCGGCCGAAATATTATGGACACCCTGTATATGAGCAGGAATCTTGTTGTCAGTTGGAATTGTCAGTTTTGCGTTGTATTTAACACTTGTAAAATCCTGTAATATCAGTATTCGGATTTGAGCAATTCTGATTGGGCGAAATAAGTCACTTTGTACAGGGTTCAACCGTACAAATGAATTTAAATTTTGTTGTTCGAGTTTACGTAATGTTTTGTAATATTTACATTTTATATGATAATGTAATTATATTTTTTATACAATTTATGTTAGAAATTGACGCGAGATCAAAATTCCAGAAAAATATGAATTGAATTCAAACAAAATACCGGTAATGTCATCACGACTAATTGACATGAATAGCCAAGGAATCCAAATTTCCGGAAGTGTTTGATTACTCTACTTCCAGCTACATATAGTTTATATAACAGAAACTGAAGCCAGACGCTCATTATCATTACTATAACGACTTTTACCGTGAATCATTCTTCAATAGGCTCTAAAAATATTTCAGTTATTTTTAATTAACGTATATTTCTTAGTGTGAAGAGCGTTACGTGGTAAGAAAAGCATTATGAACAGCATGTTTGTTTTCAATTACTGTTAAATTCGATTAAAATTTACAAAAATGTAACGCTTCGTCGTGTCAATTACAATTTACATTATTGCTAAGTAGTTATTAACAAATAGGTAGTAAGTTGGACGACTTTATTTACATTTGCATATATTTGGAACACGATTTCCAAAAGTTGTTTTGTTATTCGTCCTACTGACCTATAATAAAGGTCAGGTCTCTCAATTTTGGCTCAACTTTATTTTAATTTTTTTCAAATATTCAGAAATCGTTTTATCAATTTCCTGATCGCAATGAAATATTGCGTCACGGGACAAATATCCATAAGATTTAGTATCGCAACACTTTTCTTTTGTAATGTCACAGTCTGAGTGGTTGCACAATTAAAAAAACGCATAAATATATAGTTTTTCTGTGTATCAAAAAATAATCTTTTGTGTTGAGTACAAATCTACCATTAATTTATTATTTATATGTCCCGCCCAATGTTTTCACTCCAGTAATTTGTCTAACTTTTTGTATATATAAATTCCTAATATGCTATCCAATCCCGAAATTCTCATATTGTAGTTAGACGTAAGAGTGCTTCATATTAACTTTGGGCCAAGTGTTTGTGCTTGGAAAAATAATTGAGTGCTTATGTAAAAGCTCGTGAAGTTGTATTTTGTTGAAACATTATTGAACTATCAGTTGAAATTGACTGATATCGCGGTTTCGATACAGTCGTTAACGATGATAAGATCGCTACGAAATTCGGTTGTTCATAACACTTTTGATTTGTCTGTTATTTTTGAATGAATTAATTATTAGTTGCTACTTTATCGTCGAAAAAACTGTGACGCACCATTTTCGTATGCGAAGTAAGATGAATAATGATAAAAAAAAACCGACATTCACAGAATATTTTTGAATGAGTCGACTGAACTGCGCCACATGAAGGTTCACATAATAGATCACTCAACAGACTATGTATGACCTAATAGTTAGGGATTTGACTTAAATACACTGGCATCGCAATTTGGAGTTGTCGAATTGTTTCCCCAACGCAAACGATCCCGCCTCCTTGCCCATAATAATTTCTGTATATGCGGAACAGGAAAGATCCCTGAAATTTTAAAAATAAGATAGCTGCTATATTCTTCATTGGCTGCATGGGGTGTTATGATTCATAACGATGAAAGGGAGGGGTTATGAGTTAAAGTTGGCGTTAGTAAATGCAAAGTCAAACTAATGGGATTGAAAACAAATTATCTGATCCTTGAATTAAGCAAAGGTGTTGGAAAACAGATGCGCTGTTTGATTTATGATTTTGAAAACCTTTTCTTCTATTCTAAAAATTCCACCATTTTAAATATTTGCACTACTTTTGCGATCACCAGAGAAAACTTTTGAATTTTATGGCAAAAGTTTTTTCAAGAACTTCTTTTATGTGGAATTCACTGCGGCGTGGTTGTGTTACCGGTCGGATTGGATTAGGTTTCATACTCACTGTCGCGTAATTCTTTTTAGTTTGAGTAGCGCATGGTACTTTATTTAATTCATTATCTCACAGTTGTTTTCCTGACTTGATTGACCTGAAGTTGATTTCAAATTAAACAAGTCTCACGTAAATCTGTACCTGATAACGCGTAATACACCGTTAGTTTTTTAGTTTGAATAGCCCATGACAGTATACTCAGTGGCAGCATGACGAAAATAAATATCTGAGTTTGAATCTGCTTTGAGCAAATCCGGAGAAATCCTAATAACAGTTATGGCAAAGGGAACGTTTCTATTTGTTTTATTGTGGCCATTGGATATAAGTACAAACTGAGCATACTCGTGTGTCTTTTATTATTTAGATTAGATATAATCAAGTCGAACAACTATATTTTTCCTCGAATAAAATTTTGATTTAAGTGCAACTGTCTATTTGTTACAGATACTTGATTTTAATAAAAAAGGCATTAGCTTACTGGTATTTATTAATCTTCGCGATATCAATTTTTATTTTCAATAGTCAATTTTATGAGCTTTCAAAATTACTTGGAAATATTTATTTCAAAACCGCCAATTTAATGGATCTTACGTTCAAAGCAAAAAACAAACTTTTTTAACCAAATATATTTTTTACATTTTTAATATTGATTTCAATACTAATATGCTTCTATATTGCAATGGCAATACTATACATCGATGTAACTCTAGATTCTTATTTTTCCGGATATTTGGTACTAAATTGCGTTTATGAATGCCAGAATATTCCAAATTTCAGTGTAATATATATTTCACCAATAATTTGTAAAGCGAAACTATTGTACCAAGTTATTGTTCGTGCATATTATTACAATACCAGCGGAACTTGATCGTCTAATTATGTAGGTATTTCCTGAAACTACAGACGCAAAGGAAGTTCATAAGCTGAAGTTTCAAAAAATATTTTATATCGCGGAAGCTTTTATGTCTGACCAATGAGTTTTTCCATTAACGCCGTTTTGTATTGTTCATATTTGTTTGGCTATTTTATAACAGTCTCACATATACAAATAAGAACAAAAGAATAATCCTCAAATATGTGGACGAAAAAATCGAATAATGATTAATATCGTTACCGCAATGTCAGCAAAATGTTAAAATAATTATACTATTTGATGGTGTGCGCGTGGATGATTAAAAATCTGAATTTGGGATGAATATGGAGTCCTATGTAGAATTCGGAGAAAATTTGTAAAAGTAATAGCCATTTGGCAGCTCTCCCATACTTAGGTACAGAAAATTCAAAATTGAATGGTCTATCAATTGTGTCGAAATGAGATATTTTTCACAACTCAACAACAAATTTAGCAAACCGACCCGCAGACCGATTCTGCGTCCAATTAATGCGGTAGTGCTTAAGTGCATGCGGTAGTGCTTTTTTCTGATTGGAGCCAAGTGAAAATATTAATCCTTTCGACTTAGCTACAAATTTGAAGATTTATATGTTATTTTTGATATCTGTATTAGTTCAATGTCTAGTTTGAAATTAAATTCCGTTAAAAATTTCTCGGCAAATAAATGAAATTTCGTTCGTTTCCCAATAAACCTAACTAACTTAATTTCACTTCCCTTTGAGAGCAATGGGAGAACAACATTATTATAAAAAGCTGATACTCACAGTCTCGGATCTATCTCGTTTTCTTCTTCATATTCTTTTGTTTCTTCTAATTTTCTTTGTTCATGGAATTCTGTGGCATCTTCCTCCAATCCAAGCATGCTTCCTGGGTTGTAGGCGGGATTTCCCGATATTGTCGTAACACAGATGAGCGCAAGGAACGCAGCAAGTAAATGTTCCATTCTGACAGTATATTTTTTGATTCAGTTCTATTGTAAAGTAGTCTTTCCAATGTCTTTTATGTAAATTTCAGAAATGAATATATATCTTTAGATGTTGTTTATGACCAATAGCTATTGCTTTGATGTATAAGAAGTATTTTTTAAACGCAGCTGGCGATGTAAAGATCAGTCTTCAATTCCCAAATTGATGCTTTGATGCTGTGTATTTGTCCTTTTTGGAAATCATTCGAGGTTTGGACGTCCGGGATATTCGATCACTTTTGCCGTTTATTATTTCCTGTATTGCCGCAAAATTACTGATATATCCCCGGTCTCACCGATGCAAGCAATAAGCGATCTACGCGGGTTTATAAGTAACTCTCTCGTCTGAAATGAAATGAACGTTGTTTAAAAAGGCTTCTCTATAACTTTTACAGTTAATAAAAATCAAATAATGTTCCCTCCCGTTTACGGGGCACGTGTTTTGTCTCAACGCGTGTTGTCGAAACTTCTCTTATAAGTTGAATAAACAATATGGCGCTCTGGTGAATCGCTAACTATCGATTATTTTCTTAATACTTGCTTAATGCTAATTTTGGATCACATGCAACATACGCGATCCTAATCTATTAAAATCGAGCATTGCTATTGCTCAAATCTTAAAATTTTATCAAGCATTATAGATGCATTTCACAGCTTCCAAAAAATTCAAATGAAGGCGTCTATTTGCTCTTTCTAAATGAAATAATGAAAGTAATAATGAAAATGTTATAAAATCCATGTAAACCACTTTATATCACATTGTTCTAATTCAATTCTACAATGAAAGCATTTGAATATTTAGACCCAACAGTCTTGAATCCAACACTAAAAATGTCTTCGTTTCTATTCAACAGATATAAACAAATGACAAATCAAACGAATCGACTGAGATAAAAAAAAAATTGCTCGTATTTCAAAAAGAAAAAAAGGCAAAACCTGTTATTAAATACCTGGAATAGTAGTTGAATAAATGGCGCTATGGTTTATGCAAAAAGCTTCAATTAAAGCAACAAGCTTTCAAAAACAATTGTGGCTGGCTTCCATTTTTGGAAAGTTCTATTCCAGAGAATAACGCCAACGTCATATCTGCCGAAGTATTTACGGATGAATTGACTCGCACTTTGGGTACATTTTACAGAAAGACAGTGACATACAGAATGGTTTTTCTAGTATTTAATGCATGACTAGCGATTCAAATAAAAACTATTTATAATATAAAACCCTTATATCGATATTAAAAAGTTACAAAACGATGTTTTAAAACAATTTAATTCAAACTGAAAATAAAAACTACTCGATCAGCTTGTGATAACATAAGTCATGAATGAACGGCTTTGAGGCCGCGGCGTTGGTATTTTTAATGACTCGGAGAAGGAAATCGGATGGACGGTTTCTCAAATGCCATAGTATTTAAAAAAAAATCGGTGATTTTGAACAAATCATCCAGAGAACAATTTATTACTAGCAGAAAGTGAGAGAGTGTGTGCAACGTAACCTACACTACAACTATCTGTTAAAATGAAAAAATATATGTAAAAACTGCGCGTATCATGCTGCGTTGTATCTGATAGGATTCATGTTTCTTTTAGTCAATTCTCACTTTTCCCTAATCGCAATATATCGTTTAAAATCAAAATTATAGTTACATTTATGAACAATTTTTGATCAAATTCCGATAAACAAACTTAACGATTGTGTAAGAGAAATGAATCTAATTTGTTTTTAATCGGCTGATGTTATGTCATGCTATAAAAGTCGTGCATTCGAGTTGAAAAAAACAAACAGGATTGGGGAATTCGTTTCAAGATTTTACCATTAGTCAGAAGTGCAAAATAGGTAGATAAAAATGATATTTTTCTCACTATTTCTTGGCCTTGCAGAAATTCCCACCATAAAGGGATTTTCTACAATTGAAACACACTAGACAGCGTGACTGGTTTATTTCGCAAATTTTTAGGAAAATTTATATAAAGTTCTTAAGATATTCTGTTTTCATAACGGTCATATGCCAAATATATATTTGTGTGACGTCTAATAAACACGTTATGACGTTAAATTAGGTCGTATAGGGCAAGGGAATCTACTAGTTGGCTGTTAAAACCACAAAGCCAGACATAACTAATGAATGTGATCATTGTCAGCGGAAATAAAGTGTTCCAAATATAATTATTTTTAGTTTAGATATTTAACTAAAACATGGGAAAGTCTGCAGGTGCTTGCACGATAAGTAGTAGCAGACTGCCAAAATCTTTTCTTTTCTAACAGACATCGAATCGTAAACTGCGTAAGAGTTCTTAAGTTCCCAAGACCTGGTTAGCTTGTGCTTATGCCCACCACACCACCAAGGGTGTGAGTGACCGAGTGGACTGAACTGAACTAGATTTATCCTGGCTCTTGAACATTTTAGTTGTTCTATCTGGCAACAACTAGATAGGATTGGCAAAGTTGGCTGAATTTAAAATTTCAAGCTTAACGGAACAGTGTCAAAGCATTTTTATGAGTCAATTAGCTTATTCTGAATCATATAGCAGAAAATCAAAAATATGTCAGTAATAATCGTAGCAATTCCTACATGTAATCGAGAGACTTTAATCTATCGTACTTGTAATATGAGCCGTTTCGTGGAAACATGCCAAATATTCGGAAATTGTTATTCTATCAGCCAATTTATCTTTTATCGTATCACGCTGTGGACATAAACACGTTACAAGCAAATTTTTGTAGCAAAACTTAAACGTATTCGGCATTGAGGAGCAAAGTCGCGTGTTTTTTATTCGCCCCTATTCTGTGATATAGCGTACTTGGCAACTATATCAGTATTATCCCGTTACTGCTCCACCACTAATTTCTAATTCGATTTCTTTGATTCTATTTAGGGTATTCAATGATCTTACATATCTTATACTAACCTAAGATAAGCAAAATTAAAGGAAGCAGATAGAAAATTTGGCGTTGGGACAATATCAGAACAATACATGTGTATGCTTGCCAATCACCATTTGCATGGCTGCTCCGTTGTACTTTTTTGGCATGTACTACAATTCCACTCAATATAATAAGTTAAGCTAGTATATGTCGTATCATATGAAACACAGCCAAATATCTGTTATTTAATTCTGTAAACTATACAATTACATGGAAAAGTTGATTTATTTGAGAAGACTAGAGTAGAACACGTACTGAACTACAATACTTCTAGGCCCTGATGTTTCTTTGAAATTGCGACATAGTTAACAATATCGTTAAACAAAGATTGATTTGTTTTTAAATCTTTTAATACCAAACTCATTTATGAATAACCTCATGTGCATGGCGCACAATTTGGATGCCTCGAATCGGATATTTAACGCTTTCGCTCGTCGTTAAAAATAGAGATCGTCGATCAATAAGATCTAGTCCAACATCTAGCTATACTAAATAAAACCTAAGCCAACAAAATCGGGAGCTTTACAAGCGTAGACTTGCACGATTTACCACACACAATAAACAATTCAAAATAGTTGAAGCTACTTTTTCCGCTCTCTGACACGTTATCGAAAACCGCTTCCAGGCCCTATGTAAATGAGTACGAACGCTATTTCTGAAACAAGGTTTCGCGGTATATCACAAAATTCGAAATATTTACCTATCTGTTTGATCGTTATTATTCATGTATACAGTCGATGTACTATTATATATCTTTTCTGGGCAAAGAAATAGAGTCACGATCATCTGATTCTCGAGTCGAATAAATCACCGAGTCTAGTCTGGGGGTTAGCTGATAAAGAGCTAGAGAGATTCCATTCAATTGACTCGAGTGACTTCGAATCTCTGATAGATGGTGACTCGTCTAACTCGAGCGTCCCAGAACTACCTCGATTATTAAGTATTGTGGCGGTTTATAAGTTAACCGGGATAATATCAGTGGCAGCGAGCAGTGATAACAATAGTAGATGAAGTCGAATAGTCCTCGATTCGTTTATTTCGATTTCTAATATTCTAAAGAGAACCGTAGTGTAATAAAAATGAACAACTAGGGAGGACCGAACAATAATTTCGTTCGCTGCAATTCTTGAAAATCAAATATTTTACAAAAAACAAAGGAGCTTATTCAAATGGCGTGGAATGGAAGTCTATAATGGTTGCGTAGCACCTATATTGTTGCACGTTATCAAACGTTCAACCTACCATAACCGTATTCATACTAGCGGATATTTTGCGTACGAAGTGAAATATAGTAAGTATATAACGCATTCTAGATACATTTCGTTTAAACAGGTTGGCGTAATATGTGCAAAATATATATCGCAAAACCATCTATCATGTGAAAGGTTTTAAGTTTGGCAATGGTGCGTTTTGTTGTTACTAAGAGTCGGTAGGCCATCTTGGCAAGATTGGAAAATCCTGCTTTTTCCAGCACAAATAGACTTTCGTGCACAAACGAATAGTTAATGATAAATATAAGGTAAAGAATAATACCGAAAGTTGTATAATCAAAAATTTCGAGACGGCTTTAAAACGTTTTTCCGGAACCCATTAAAAATCTGACAATCTGTCCAAAAATTATTCCCAATCCAATGTCGAAATTTTCCATCACAGAAATAAATATATAAAAAAAATTGCAAATAAATAAATGGTTGAAATATTTACCGGAAGTAGTCTTGCCAATACGTGAAGGGTGCGTTTCATTTTGCGTGAGAAGATATTAATAGTATTTAAAAATAATTTGGATATAACCGACTCATTCAAATTCATAGCCTGAATGTGGTTTAAAAATAAAATTTCAGGTACGCCCTATAGATTGTACGTATCACCTATTGTGCGTCAATTTCAGCGCACAACGTTCGTTCCGCAATACGTTATAATAATTGATCAGAACCTATGCCAATAAAACGCTATCCGTGAAATAACAAATGAATATATTGGTAAATCTCAACATAATTACCGTAAAACTGCTAGTGATGATAAGAAAGCTGTTGCTTTCCTTTGTTCAACCGAATTGTTGGGCGATTTGGCTTTTTGGACTGAGTCCTCGTAAGCTAGTAATCAGCAAATAAAACGTCGAATCATATAAATAAGTCATCAATTTCCTCTCTGCAGAAGACGCTATTAAAAAAATTTTCAAGGTCTACTACAGAACTTTCGATAAATTGGGGTCACGAAGTTTTTAATTCAATTACGGGTCTCCCTATTACAAATCTCATTTTGAAAGTTTATTCTGAACTTTCGAACTCTGTGATATGCGCGATAAGCTTGTGTTAGCCTGCCAGAGTTTGTTTGGATTATACATAGACTGTTAATTTGGCAAAATCGTGTCGAATAATTTATCTTTCAATCTTAAATATGTGGGTACATAAA